CATTTCTCCATAAGACTGAATACTATCATTGATCTTTTTTGCAGCCAATAGAGCTGCCCCCTGCTGGCCATTACATCGGCTGTAAAGTAAGTTTCACTCCACAGCACAAACAACAGCAACAGCAATGCACTATGACTTGAGAGAAGATGCTCTAATTTGCACATTACTCATAAAATCCTACCTGAACATGTTATAAGCAACATAAACAAGACGACACTTAGCAGAGCGTGTACCTCAGCCAACCTGTCAACGTGCTGTCACATTATGCCAGGACCACAGATTGGATTTTCAACAAAATTTTTAATAATTCCTCCCTTTCCCCATTACCATCTTGTTTCACAGCGGGAGGTTCACATCCTGTCAGGACTGCAGCTGAAATGGGTTGTGAGACCAGACACTTGTAATCATTTCAGCCAATCAGCACATATCTGTACCAATTAGCTCTATACAGTGCATAAAGCAACACGCTCTTCTACAACCGCACCAAGTTTAAGAAGAATAGCAGTTAATTTAAACCAGTAATGAGCTCTTCAATTACTCCATATTGTTTGACTGGGCCAAGAATAGACGAGTTACCTCTATTCATGGCTGCTGATGGCGATGGCTGATACACACACAGTTGTTATATGAACCAAATTTGAAAGCGAGGAGCCACGCCCACTGACAAAACACCTTCTTGTCCAATTTGTATAACATCTATGTCCTCCTAAAAGTCCCATAAAAAATTATGGAGGGTTTGTAAAAACAAAACAAAAAAGTTTCTTTATTTGTAGGATGAAACTGGAAGTAAGTTCTTATTAACTTGTGGTAAACTTAAAGCTATAATATGTAACATTTACACATTATAATGTCTATAAACACTAAACGGATGTCAGGAAACAATTAGGATAATGGAAGTACACAACTCAACAAAATATCGGCCCTTTTATTCAGGTAACGGTGTGTTTCCTGTTCATTTCCCCATACATTGACTGTTTATCCAGTCAGAAGCCACATTTTTACCATCCAC